TTTAAAGACCTCTATTGCCACTATTATGCATAGAGATATTGGTATTATTATACTAACTACACACAATGACTCTAAAGTGGGACAGTACTTAACGTTAATATTACGAGAGTCATTCAATAAATAAGGTGAATTTTTCGGTATAAGGACTTCTAATACAGATAGAAGCTTACTTTTTTTTTTCAACGTAGTCTCCGAGCACTGTCACACACTTTTCCCATCTGTGCACAAGCTTCCGTATTCCCTCAGCGTAAAAATCTTTGGACTGATGTCTCAGCCAGTCGCTCACAACACTTTGACTTCATCGTCACTTTTAAACTTCGTACCTCTCGTGAACGCCTTCAAGGGACCAAACAGGTGAAAGTCTGAAGGGGCAAGGTCTGTGCTGTAAGGGGGATGAGGGAGCAGTTCCCAGCCCAGCTCATTGATGGTCTGAACCGTTTGGGCCGCTGTGTGAGGCCTTGCGTTGTCATGATGCAAGATGACTCCTTCTGACTGATGACCCCTGCGTTTGATCTTTATGTCTTTCTTGACCTGCCTCATCAGTTCACAGTAGTTCTTCTGTCAGACTGAATGAAGTCACTGACTGATTCGATCACCTCAGGAGACCTCACTTCTGTAGGCCTCCCAGGCCTGTCTTCATCCTCAACACTGCTCCGTCCTTCTTTAAACAATTTAGCCCACTTGTAGACATTTTTTTGGCTGAAACATGTGGCACCATACATAGTTGACATTCTCCTATGAATTTCAACTGGTTTGCACCATTCAGCAACCAAAAACTTGATAACTGACCGCTGTTCAATCCTGGAGCATGCTTCTTGGTCGGCCATCTTTGTTAATCGCAAAAATTCTCAAAGTTTTTTTTTTAATCTGCAAAAGAAATTAAATCCATGTGAAAAAGAAGTAAAACAAAAAAAAAAAAATTAAAAAAAGTAAGCTTCTTTCTGTATCAGAATGTGTGTGTGTGTGTGTGCGTTTAGGCAGCGAATTCTCTTTTAGGTATCTCTGATTGATTAAATTACAAACATTATGTCTGCTTATTTTTAGCATAATCCTTTCATATTCTCGAATATTTTTCCGTATATTACTATCACATGAAAAATCCAATAAATTTACACTGTTACAGTGCTTTCCTATTTCATTTGATGGTAATATAGCGAAAATATTCGAGAATATGAAAGGATTATGCTAAAAATAAGCAGACATAATCTTTGTAATTCATTTAATCAGACATATATATATATATATATATATATATATATATATATATATATATATTGATATATAATTTTTTTTTGTATATCAAGAACATTTTTTGAAAGAAATTGGAAAAAGTTTTTGTGACGCGTTTCATCCGTTAGGACTTCATCGGACGGAGCAAACGCGTCTGAAACATTTTGCCAATTTTTATATATATATATATATATATATATATATATATATATATACGATAAAGCTTCAAACAGCTTTCTAACACGATGATAGATATAGATAAGAATATACATCAATTCTTGTACGTTGCATTTCTGACATTAACACAATTGTTGCTATTGGAATCTTTTTGTGTTTAGAATTAAGGATTCGAATTTTCTCTGCTGACTTTGTCAAATGCCTGTATTTTACTGCGTAGTTCCAAATCTTTAAAACAAATTAAAATACCGGCAACCTTTTTACTGCTAATATCCTTTGCTGTCGGTAACATGATAAATATGAAATACCCCTTTTTATTCGTTTACAGTATATGAATTTGTTTTCCTACCAGATAAAATGCACTTGTATTGTTTGATCACAGATCATTTTTTGTAGCTAGAACGCTGCCTTTGACAAAGGAGAAAAGTCGGAGTTACGCCGAAAAGGGAAAAAAAATCACTTTTTTGTTTATTTTAAAATATTCAGAATTCCAGAAATATGTGATTGGAAGAGTCTGACCCTGAACAACACAAGTTTAGAAAAAATAATGTTGTGCTATGACCTTTTTATTTATTTTTTCAAAATGGCTGACTAATGCAGTGTAAATTCAATAACGTTCACTCACGGACAGGAATCGTGATTAAATTCAAAGTGAAATCAACAAATTGGCCATCTTTTTCTTTTTTTTGTCCCTAAAAATATGATCATTCCAACTAAACAAAACTATTGACACTTTTTACTTAAACATTTTTCGAGAAGAAAACACATTAAAAACGTGAATAATTTTGATTCTGATAAAGTGCCAAAAATGACCTGGCAATTATATGCCTTTTATTAAGATCAAGAAATTAAGTTATGCAAGATTATGCATAAACACTGAACCCTTTTTTCTCTATATTCAATTTGTCATAATTGTCTACGAATTAATATTGTTATCATTATCTTTCATTTGTTAATTACTGTATGTTTTTGTTATTCCTAACTTAATTGTAATTATTGCTACTTATAACAATATTGTTATTAACTAAAAAAAAAAAATTAACACAGAGGTAATCTAAATTCTAACAGTATATATGCATAAGTATGTATGCATATATGCAGAAGAATTATTTGTTGGGGTTAATTTCTTTTCACTTGTGTTTAGTACCAAAGACTATGAAGTGACATAGCTTCAATTTGGCAAGCGTAGTATGTGACTCACTTCAGATGATGCCAAAATAGACTTTGCACTCAGTGGTCACCAGAGAAGTCAGGTGCATCAGCGAATTGACCTGAGACATAAGCTGGGTACAGATCGGCGACTTCACTAGATATCAGTGGCTGCCCCCCCCACTTCGACATATGACGTGTTTCGATCGAACTGCGCTTAGAATGTGCGTGTCTGGTACAAACAGGATGACATATAGATGTATAAGCCCCTACTCCAACTCCACCCTAGAGGACCTCTAATATCTTACATCAAGGATGTAGAATCTATGTTCGGAGAAAACTCCAAAGTTACACACCCATTCGCCGAAAGTAATTGAAGTCCGGAGTTGAATAAATTTTGAATAGTAATGTTAAGGAGGAGAATTTATTTAGCTCCCTCTTCTCCTTTCTTTCTTTCTTTTTTTGCTTTCTTTCTTCTTTTTCTTTCTTTTTTCGTCATCTTTATTCCTTTGTTCTTCTTCTTTTCTTCATTACTTCTTTCTTCCTCTTCTTATTTTTCTTCTTATTTTTCTTTCTTTCTTTCTTTCTTTCTTTCTTTTCTTTCTTTCTTTCTTCTTCTTCCTCCTCCTCCTCCTCTTATTCTTCTTTTTCTTCTTCTTCTCAATCAATTTTGGGGGTTTAATTTTTTTTCAAAATTTCTAACAGCAAATTATCAATTGCTACAAGGCCGGTTAAACATCGGGAGTCAAAGCGCGTGCACATAAGTCACGACCAAAAATTGTCCAATTCCCGCAACCAATGTCGTACTGTCATAGATATTCCACCGACCTTCTCTCTTTCGTGCAATGGAGGAGGTGCTGCCGCAGGTTTGGAATCCTCGGTACGGCATGTCTTATTTATTTGTTATGTTCTTCCCGAAGATATAAACACAATTGAGAGATAAAAGGCAAGATTTTCTGCAATAAACAATATTTTTTTTACTAATGTTTACCCAATGCAAGGCCCAAGAGCCACTTAAGGTAGAGGGTTACTATGTGGATTTGTATTAGCGTAAGAAAGGAAAAGATAACAGGAAAGATAGTTAATTCCAGAGTTGAAGAGGTCAAGATTTAATTAGTGAATAAAATTTCAGAGTTCAGGCGGAGACGTTAGGAGTATAGAGTTGAAGTAGACTTTAGAAGGAACCGGAAATCTAATCGTAAACAGGAAACAAAGGATGAACCTCTACGCCTGTTCGAAAGACCGTGGAGGAGTATGAACCGGACGTTGGGCAAACCTACCTACTTCTATTGGGAGAGGAAAAAATAATTACTGAATAAAATTTCAGTTTTCAGGCGGAGACGTCAGAGTTGAAGGAACAGGAAACCCGGAACCGGAAGCCCAATCCTAAACAGGAAACCCGGAACCGGAAGCCCAATCCTAAACAGGAAACCCGGAACCGGAAGCCCAATCCTAAACAGGAAACAAGGGATAGAAAAAAAAATCGATCACGATTAGAATCCTTGGAAGAAGATTTTTTTTTTTATTAATCGTTTCACCCCAAGCAAGAGGTTACAGAGAGTGAAAGTGAGAGAAAAGACTGAATATATGGAGGAGTGAGAAAAGGATAAAAGGTAAACGGGATGCAAGAAGATAGAAGATGGCTACTGACGTTACATTTAAATTTTTGATGATTGTAATCTTCAGGGAAGCAATTAAACTGAAGGGAGTTCCACAGGCGGGAAATGAAAAGAAAGTTGTCGGTGTAGAAGTGGCGGCTTCATCTAGCAATTTCAACAGTAAAAGGGTGAAACGTAGATGCCAATCTAGGAGCAGGGGAAAAAATCTCCTCAGAGCAGTTGCCATGAAATTATTTGTAGAAAAGACAGAGAAACCACGTCATTTCAGTGAGAAAGTAACTGAAGTCAAGATGCCAAGTCAGGATCGATTATATTGCAGATCTTTCTTCGGATTTTGTCAAGAAGCTCGAGATGTACAGCAGGAGCATCAGACCAATTATGGCAGCAGTATTCAATACACGGACGAATAGTAGATTTGTAAATATGCAAGATGGAGTCTGATGAGGAAAGTTAATCTGGCACGACACGGTGACCAAAATTTCCTTGCAGCAGATGCAGGTATTAATTCGATGTAGTCACTCCTCTTCAAGTCAGTTGAAAATGTTAAGACCAAGAAGACACGGTGTGCTCACTAGGAGTCTAGTGTCAGCCATGCTAATGACAGACAGGAAAGTTTCTCTATGGTGCTTAGATGACAGCAGTTTTGCTTTAGAGGCGTTTTATGCCTGTCCAAAATTCGGCATTGCTAAGAAGATATTCTAAAAAAACATCAAGCTCTAATATCTCATTAAATGTTGAATAATAATAAACATAAAAATAAATATTAGATCATTGTAAACGTTTTTGCACGATAAGGAAATTAAAAACAATGAAAATCAGGCACCAATTTTTGGATATCAGACAATTGCGTCCTTGGACAAATGCGTCCATAGACAAATGCATCCCAAGACAAATGCATCCCTAGACAAATGCATCCCTAGTCAAATGTGTCCATAGACAAATGAATCCCAAGAAAAATGCATCCCTAGACAAATGCATCCCAAGACAAATGCATCCCAAGACAAATGCATCACAAGACAAATGCATCCCTAGACAAATGCATCACAAGACAAATATATCCCAAGACAAATGCATCCCTAGACAAATGCGTCCATAGACAAATGCATCCCTAGACAAATGCGTCCATAGACAAATGCATCCCTAGACAAATGCGTCCATAGACAAATGCATCCCTAGACAAATGCGTCCATAGACAAATGCATCCCAAGACAAATGCATCACAAGACAAATGCATCCCTAGACAAATGCATCACAAGACAAATGTATCCTAAGTCAAATGCGTCCCTAGACAAATGCATCCCTAGACAAATACGTCCCTGGATAATTGCGTTCCTTTGATAATTTTTTGAAGTTACCATACTTTCTTTTCTTAAGAGTTCATAATTGCAAACCAAGTTTTAATTATTTTAAACAAGCAAAAATGTAGTTTACATAAATTTTGAAAGAAAAAAAAATATTTTTAAATAGTTATTAAATATAGAAATTTGCACACCGATACATTTAATTGCTTTAAACAAACAGAAAGGTATCAATCCAGTTGTTCTCCCCGACACCTATTGGTAATAGTAGGATATTTCTATAGCCTTGGGTGGTAACCGGCCTGAGAGAAGGAAAACTCTGAATTCAAATCTGTATGTAGCCCTAGTGAAGCACATACTATGCAGGTAAGGAAAGGATCGTCTGCATTGACTCGATGATCCTAACTACGGTCGACTCCTTAACAGACTGGGTTCTATAGCCTTGGATGACAACCGGTTTCGGAGAAGGGAAACTGATTTCAAAACTGTATGTAACCCTGGCGAAGCACATACTATGCAGCTAAGGAAAGAATCGTTCGCAATGTTCGATGATCCCGGATACGGTCGACTGCCTGTACTGCATCAATTCTCTTCCTCTGTCTTTGACAATTCAGTTGATTACCAAATGATACTGGAGATTACTTTTACAGTTTTACTTCCCCTATAACTCTCTGTATTTGATGCTAATTATTTCTTTCTGTTGGACACTAACACATAAAGACAATCAACTCCACCACACAAACCTATAAATGCAGTCACACATACGCAAATACACACACAAAAAACACATACGCATAAATGCAGTCACACAAACGTCCCCCCCCTACAAATGCAATCACGGTGGATGGACAGTTTGCGTCCCGGACAATTGCGTACCAGATAATTTCGTTCCTGGACATTTGCGCCCCTAGACAAATGCGTCCCTACATAATTACGTACCTCTGCTAATTTTTTGAAGTTACCATTTTTTTTTTAAATAGTTGTTTAATATAGAAATTTGCACACCAATACTTTTAATTCCTTTAAACAAGCAGAAAGATAGTTACCATAAATAAATAAAAGAGAAAAAACCACAAGAAAATTAAGTTAGCAGTTTCAGTTTAGTCCAGCAGTGCGTAACACAAACATCTAATAGATTCTGGATTTTATAGATTATATTTTGATTTGAAACCCATGGCTAAGTTCCGAAAATCAAACACTGGTGGAGAAATATTTGGGGACGAGGAATATTACAGTTGCTACTATTATAAGTAAAAACGCCGATGAAACAAAAACTTACTGGTGATATGTAGAGCGATTCTGCAACATTGTTAATCTGCCATTGCATTTTAAACAAAAATAAACTTTTAATTTTTTTTAATTTTATTCCTTTTATTCATTTTTAAAAAATTTATGATTACTACATATGCTTTTTTTTTCAAAATTTATGGTAATTGCCTTCAAAAAATGACCAGAGGTAAGCAATTATCCAACGACGCATTTATCTATGGACGCAAATGCGCAGGGACGCAATTGTCTGGTACGCAACTTTCTTAGAACAAAAAAAAGGTGGAAAAACATTATTTTATAATATTATAAACATGAGAGATGAAGAAAAATAGCAATAAATGAATTTTGTTCGACTAGAAATCATTATAATTGACACAAATCCAACGAATATTCTCCTTCTTCTATGTGCCATGTCCCTTCAGGACGTTGGTGATCATGGCTCTCCACAATTTCCTCTCCCTTGTAGCTCTTAATAGATTTTGTCTTTTTGTTATCTCTTCTAAACCTTGTTCCGCCATCCATTTACTCAAGCTCATTCTTCATCTTTTATGTGCCGTGTTTCTTCAGGACGTTAGCAATCATGGCTCTCCACAATTTCCTGTCATTTTTTGCTCTTAATAAATTTTGTCTTTTTCTTATTTCTCCTAAACCCTGTTTGACCATACATTTACTCAAGCTCATTCCGTAGGTTATACGTTGTTTTCATTTGTTCCTTCTATCTTCCCCGTGAGTATCAAAATTTACAAGCCTTCTTTCCTCTTACTATGCCCCAGAAACTTCAACTGTCTCTTTCTGATCTTAAGTATAAATATCCTTTTTGTTTCCATTTTTTCTAAAACTTTGTCGTTGCTCACATATTCGGGCCATGGTATTCTCAGCATCCTTCTGTAGATCGCATTTCTGTTGCTTCAACACTCCTCTTCAACTTTGAGGAGATTGTCCAGCATTCACTGCCATATAGGAGGACATCTTCTTCTTCTTCTTCTTTTTCTTCTTCTTCTTCTTCTTCTTTTTCTTCTTCTTCTTCTTCTTTCGCCCCTAACCACAGAAGGAGTCGTTGGGGGCCGACGACGTGCTGACCTGTCCACCATTCTCCTCCATCTTTTGCGGTCGTGTACCAGAGCATGGGTCTCCGCAAATGGTTTTTTGGTGTGCTCATCATGTGGCGTATCTTAGGCGTTTTAACCTGTCAGAGTCCATCCCTCTCCAGGTATAGGAGGACTTAATTTAAAAATTGAAGAGGGCATAATATAATATAATAGGAGGACATAATATAAAAATTGACTTCATCGGAATTAACAGCTTTTATTTAAATACAAGGGGTTGCTGAAAAGTCCTTGGCCCGACCCATTTCCCTCAAATCTGTATTTTCCATGGGCAAGCAACAGATCTTTTTGGGGGGGAGGGGGCGGGGTAGTTTAAAAGAAACTTGCGAATAATATTTTAAAAATGCCACATTGTGTGGAACTGCAATTCGTCGAGGTGCTAACCAAATG